CTAAATCATTTTTTTATATAAAAAAAAAAAAAAAAAAAAAATATATATATATATATTGGGCTAGTTAAATTAATTTTCGTGCTGCTAAAATCTGAAGAGGACCTGCCCGAAGGGCTACCAGGGATTTAGAAATTTTGCGAGCCCTGCTGTTATCTTGTCCCACACATACACAGTGCATTTAAAAGGTGCTTACATACGTTTTCTAAAGAAGTAGGCAGTTTGCTGATATTAACTGATGTTCTCTTTGTGCCTGTTCTACTAGTTGTGCCTGCAGATCAGTTTTTCTTTTGTGTGATGTTCATTCAGCAGAGGTTGCATCACAGACGGCAGCACTGACTTTTCCCATGTAAATTCTGTCCACAGATTTGTACAATTGTAAAGGGAAATTAATGAAATCTTAAAATCATTGTGTGTGTGTGTGTGTGTGTATATATATATATATATATGTGTGTGTAATAATATGGGTATACACCTTTAAGATGTTTTGTTTGTGTTAAGTTGGTCTTTGTGAGTAATGATATTATCCCACGCACCTTTAACATCAGTACACTAAAAATGTGAGCTGACAGGACAGAGAGCATCCTGCCATGGTGCTGTTTATGGATTCAAGCCGTGGGCTTCCCTGTGGTTGTGTGACACAGCTGAAAGCTCATGGTCTGGGGCCAATCTGTGTGCCCAGGGCTGTGAGAGCCCCCCACACTCCTTCACATCTCCAGGTCTTCCTACACTGCCCTCTATCTCTCTTTCTTCTTGATATTATATCAACATAATTGTTGGGAGACTGTCATTAATAGGGCTAGAAGTCAAATACCATTCATGTTTGCTTATTTTCTTAATAACATTTAGTAGGGATGCACCGATATGAAAATTTTGGTCGATACCGATAACCGATTATTCTTTATTTTTGAAAGCCGATAACCGATATGTTGGCCGATAAATCTATATCCAAATTGTTATATGGAATATGTATTTTTAAAATAATTTAATTGGCATTCATTCCATTTATTGCTCTATAGCACTCCTGTTTCCTCTTCGTTATCGTTTTCACCCTATGGTTTACAGTAAATGGATCAGCCATCTTGGTTATTGTGAGAGGAGGATGATTTGGAAGATGTAAAATTGTTTATTTATTTTAATTATATAATTTTTTATAAAACATTTATGTTTTTGCTATGTAATTTGTTTTTGATGCTCTCCTGCTCAGGGACAGCAGATGAAATTTAGCCTTGTAGCTAATTCTGGGGCAGTCTTTGTCCATTGTCCCTGTTAAATAAAGAACCTATCATCTTGGTTGTTGTGCGAGGAGGGTGATGTGGAAGATGTCATTGTTGCAGAAGTTCAAATTTGAGACCCATTTCTGCCAAGGTTTTTTTTGTCTACCTGGAAAGGGGAACGGGATTTATGAGCATTGATATTCCATGTGCATTTGGATGCCCTGTACCCTGTAGATTGATGCCGTGCTGCAGCAAATGTTTGGTCATATTGCTCACTCAGGCCCCTTTACAGATTATTACCCTTTCACATTGATTGCCTATAGCAATACTTGTAAAATGTCTTCTTGTTTTAGGAGGCACCCTGATGCTTTGCAACCTTGTACAGTCTGAAGTAACTGAAAATGTTGAATTATATCACGTGTCTTGTATTTTGATTTATTTTTAATTTTTCTTTAAAGGGGTCCTATTATGCTCTTTTACAAAGTCTTGATTTTGTTTTGGGGGTGTACTAGAGCAGGCTCTCATACTAGGTTGTTCGAAAAACACATTATTTTTCACATATTTTACATTATTACAGCACCTCTCTCCCCAGTCTGGCATGAACGGCTCGAATAGTTCCTGTATCAAATGAAGGCCCGCCTTCTGAAATACGAAATGTGCTGTGATTGGTTAGCTGGGCCAGTGTGTGTTGTGATTGGCAGCACTCGGCGCCTGGTCGGGAAATGTCATGCCCCTTACCATAGCCGGCTGCAAGCTTCAGTGTAAATATTGCTTAAAATCAAATCAATTTGAGTGCGATTTTAAACCCGGATGATTGTAACCAATCTAAGTTCGTCTGCCTTGGGAAAGCTAGCGTGTCTCCGACATAGTGATGATAACACTCGCTGCCTTCTCAAGTGCAGCTCAACCAGGTCTCGTCCCATTCGTCGATCTTTGTGATATCACAAATCCCGGAAAATATGCGTTGTAGTCCAAACGAGTCGTTCGTTGTAGTTTTTGAAAAGTGATTTCTGTTAAATTAAATATATCCTTTTGAAGTGAACTTTGAACTTTGTAACTTTGCAGATCTTTTTTATGCTCAAACAGCTACATTACAGACTAACTAAAGTTGAAAAAGTGAAAAAGCATAATAGGACCCCTTTAATTTGTTTAAAGTTTCCTTTTGACAGAAAAAGTGCTGGAAAGTGGAAACCACCATATTTTCATGAGAACGATACAAAACTCAGTAAGTGGATTGTCTTGATAAAGCTGCTAGATCTTTAATACCTGTCAGTACTACACATTTTGATCAACTGAAGCTACATTGATATTCTCCTTAACTGATCATGGCAACTCTTATGCTTGCATCTTAAAGGGAGTTTAATTTTATACCTTTTCATGGTGTCATTTTATACCTCATTTTATCCATGTGTCATGGGTTTAAGAATAGGATCTGTTCCCTGCTTGGAATGTCACTATTGTCATTCTGTTTCCTGTTCTGTATACCAAAGGTGGAGACCTCATGCACACACAGACACACCTATCATTGACTTTACTGTTCACTTTTGCTTTATGGTCTGTCCAAGGAGAAAGTCAACTATTAGCATTCCCATTCATCTCAATGGCAGTTGCTCAGATGACGTGTGCAAACTTGAGAGCACGTAACCTATATAATTAGACCATTGACGCAGAAGGCAGCAAGTCAAGGGCTTTCCAAATAAATTGAGCTCTGGTAAAATATGTACTCATTCAAATGTTGCTTGGGAATAAAATTGGTCTGAAATCTTGGTTACTAGTGAATGGTTGTCAATAAAGAAACATCTTTTTTTTTCTCTGAACAGTACCAACCCCATTATGAAAGATCATCGCCTTTGGCTCTTCAGGTTGTTTATGGTGAAACAAAGATCAGCCATATTCTTTTTGAATAATTAATCATTCTAGTAATTGTTTTATCATGTAGGAAATAAGTGATATCTCACCAATGAAGTTTGTTGTGAAGCTTTTGGCCTTCTGGAGCTGACATGCAAATGTTGGCAAAACTGAACGAACCCATTTTTGAGGTTACAGAATCAGATATTTCAGTTCTAATACATTTTGGTGTCAGTTTGCAAACTGTAATTAACTGTTGTGGCATAATTTATTTATAAAATAGTTTTGTTAAATGATTGATTTCTATTCTGTTGTACAATATTACCACAGTACAATATTTTTCTTATGGATAAAAATAGGATGGTTACAGAAAATGTCCAACCTTATGGATCAAAGTGATCGAATGATGAATATTACTTTTAAGTAATTGCAACCTGCAACCAGTGGTATTTGGATGGTATGCTGATCAGTTCGTCAGCATGCTCAAATGTTGATTTTACAAAGGACTTCATGCATCAAAATTGACCCCGTTTACTTAAATGCATATTCCTGGTGTAATTGTGCACTATCCATCTATGTATGTTATTTCAAATAGGCTGGATAAAAAAATTTAATCTCTCCCTTCCAAGTAATTGCCTCCATCCTGGTATGTAACAGCCACTTCATATTGACTTTAGTTTTATTTAATGTCCTAATTGTTATGGATGAAGATCAGTTCTCCAAGTCTATGGATCTGTAAGTGGTTGTTGCCCTGAGCCAGATGTTGTAAAAGACTCAAGAGTGGAAGTGGTTTGAAGTGATGCAGTGAGCTTCTGTTACTCTCTCACCTGCTGATGAGAAGGGTGCTGAGCTTGGCTATTTTCTCCACAGGGTGACACTGATGCTTTAATTACTGACCCCTCTCCTGTGTGTGATTCCTCCATTAATTTCTACTTTAAATCGGGTGACTGATCAGCCTAATAGTGGAATCAGCAGTAGGAGTGTGGTACGGGTTAGTGTATGGTTAGGGGTCAGTGTAAGGTCTGGCTGTTGCCGTTAGCTTTCAGTTGGTAGATGCCAGTCCAGCAACTGCCACTGAGATGAATAGGAATGCAAACAGTTTTCTCCAGGACAGGTATTAAAGCTCCATTAGGCTCCATTGTGTGTCAGAGGAACTGCAAGCCTCGACTTCCTCTTTAGGTGTCGAAAGAGTAATAAATGGAGGCGTATGTTTGGAAAACAATCACTCTGGAACCTCCTAAGACTGCTGTCTCACTTTTTATTTTTTTTACAAACTGATATTGATTGGATGAAGCACCAATATAAAATAGGATGAGCATGCATAGGCTTTTAGCTTACCCTTCAGCAGTGTTAGTGAGTTATGTGTACATTACACACAGTGCAGTAGACTGCTATTTTGCTGTATTTCCTTCTGCTGTTCTGCCGATAGTTTTTATAGTTAAGTCATGGCCATAAACTATATGTTTTTAAAGACTTCTAGAGGGAGGAATATATTACTTTAGAGTGTGATCCTGGTCGTTTATTCCCACTGTAAGAAATAATGTAAATTAGAAAATGTCCTGGAAAATGATCACTGAAAAAGAGTGGGAACCTGAAATATCATTTAGACAATTATGAATTCTATGTTACATTATTTACCCTATTATGGTGTTTTTTGTTTATCTATTTTGTATTGTTTTAAATAGCAAATTGGTTGTATTGCTTTTAGATACTCAAAGTTATTTAATTTGTTAAAATCTCATATGGCATGGTTCATAATATATTCAAAAAATATAAAGTTTGTATAATATTGCATTCCTGTTTACACTCTTTTTTTTGTACTTTCCAGAATAAGCTGCAAAATGATGTCAGTGCCCAGATGTCAGAGATTCACAGACTGAAAGGTAAGAAATGCTCACTAGAGGGTGCTACTTTCACCTCTGAGTTAGTGGTATAGGGTTGGGGTGGGGTATGCAACTATTGTTGTACATTTTCTCATACAGTGTTGTTTCTTTCTACTCCACACTGGTGTAAACCAATCATGGTATCCTGCTGGCTGATATTTTTCATATTGTGGGGTTTTGGACTGCTGATCTAATGGGGCATGTAGTCATGTTTGTTGACGTGTGTGTGTGTGTGTGTACACATTTACAGAGCAAGTAAAGGAATTGAGGCAGGAGGTCATCCGACAGGAAGACCAACTGAGGGAAGTGCGGAAAAACAGCACCAATTTGGAAAAGAAGCTAGAGTATGAGAGGTGAATATAAACACTTGTGGACCCAGACCCAGAAAAAGGGGTCTTGTTTTCTATGCACTTCCATTCCTACATTAGGGATTGTTTAAATTGACTAGACTCGTTGATCATGCAAATATAAATCTAGAATGTAATATGTGCATTGCAGCTTGCAGTGTGGCCGACAAATAGCTGAGCTGAAGGCAGAATATGAAGAGAGCAAGAAAAGAGTAGAAGAAGAGGCAGCAAAACTCAGACAGGTGGGATAAGAATGACTTGAATTCAGTCAGTTTAAACTGTAACTTGTCTCCACTAAAACTCTGTATTTTGCATTAAAACAAAAAAACTTCCTCATTGCAGAGTTTATTAGAGAATCGTAAAGTGGACACAGGGGGTCGGAAGTTGGAGGCGGATCTTGATCAACCCATCAAAAAAAAAGAGGAGGACGCTGCAGAGCGCCACACAGTGGCTGCAAGGCGAAATGACAGCCCAGTTCTTAAAGGTAGCGGAAAAAACCTCAATGAGCAGATGCATAAACATTTTGGTTGAAAAAAAATCCCATTCTCTTGCTTTTTTTCTATCACATACACGCAAGATGATCTGGGTAAACCTGGTAGCGATGCTGGCATGCCTGGCATTGAGGACAGTGAAGTAGGCAAGATAGAAGATGCACAGTTTGGTGAGTATCACAAAGTAAATCTCTAGAAGGTTTAAATGAACTACTGAATAGTCATCTTGCTGATGAGTAACCGAGAGAATAAACTCTAAAGCATGCTGAAAATAAAAGTTCATGTCTGTTACTTAATTCTTATTCACATTTAATGTTTCTCCAGCCCTAAAGAAGCCAGCCATCACACTGCAGAAGCACATGGAGCCCGCAGAAGCTGCAGCATTGCTGAAGGAGGAGAGGGCAGGGTTCGGAGCTGGAGCTGGTGCCAGACCAGGGGATGATTTGGCCCGCGGGCAACCGTTGGACCGACCAGACATGCCCCATGATGAAAAACTGCATTTAGGGAACAACGATGTACCTGTGCAGCAGCAGGTTCCAAAGCCGGTGGCAGACAAACCCTTGCTGTTTGACAAAGATAATAAGGCAGGCATAAAAGCAGATGAGTTTGGGGAGCAGCGTAGACAGCTGGGAGGTGAGAGGTCATGTTTTATATGTGCTTATATTGCTCATACTAACACTTTTCAATTGTTGGTTGTCTTAGAAATGTTATGCAGGACCCAAATATACACACACACACACACACACACACACAGCGACTATGCAGGCAGTAAGGATTACATTATTGCAGGGCACACAAGGCAAAACTGTATTAAAATGACTCTTCATCTTTTTCAGAAAGTATTTCTTATTAATACTTTATTACTATAGGTGCAATTTTTTTTACATCAAATTTTTCCATATTACCAAAAGCTTTATCAAAACACTATTTGCTCAAACACTGATATTTCCTTTAGACAATGCAAATATAGCTTTGTGGTTTCTTTGTACTGGGGGAGCTATGTAGTAGAACTTCAGGTTTTTTTTTTATTATGCGTGTGTCTCTTTATTTTTTTATTTATTTTTCTTTCCTTGCTGCGGAGAAGCTGTCCTGTTTTCATCTTTCTTATTTTCTATTTGTCCCTGTCATTAATTGAAGTTTACATTTTTACTTTTGCTGTTTTTTCACATGGGAATAATGGAGATTAGAGTCAAATCATTAAGTGGCATCCCTCTACTTACAGAAATGTAACTTTTTCATATCCAGTGTTGTTTCTGTGCTTGCTTCATTAGCTGAAGGTTTAAAGGCAGAGGGAGTTGGACTTCCTCCTCCTCCTAACCCGGCTCAGGTCCTTCCGAAACCCATTGACCCACACAATGGCAGAGATCACGCGCCCGCTGACATTCCACGTCACCGTCAGAGTGAGTATTAAATTGTGCAAAGGTGGGGATGGGTGCAGTTTCTGAAGATATGGCGAGACAAAGCTTCAGCTATTCACTTGCTAAGTCGTGACATATCAAATACTGTTTCCTGGTTCAAGCCTCTACTCTGTTTCAAGTGAGAATACTATCTCAACAGACATTTATGAGCACCATTCATTTATAGTGCACCTCTAAATTAAGTTTTCTTCTTTGGTTTTTGTTTTTAATTACAATGTTCACTACAGTCTCCGGGCTCAAGGTGTCAGACATTTGTCTGAAAGTGTTTGGACCCAGAAACTGTGACGCATGACTTCAGACTTAGCAACCGGATACTGATATTCCCATAATCTCTTAACCTCAGACATCACATTTACGTATAGGTGGTTGGCAGTTTCCAAAAGGTGCTGATGGTTACCTTCATGTCTTTAGGCCCTCCCATCTTAAAAGAATCGTTCACACATAAATTGTCATTCAAATCCTGATTTTATGCTTTGCGTAAAACACAAAATGAGATATTTAGCAGAATGTTTTAAGCTGTGGAAGGTAATTATTTCTGTCAAGTTGTGTTCCACTTAATAAAAATAAATACGGTTTAAAAATGACATGAGGCTGAGTAAATGATTTTCATTTTTGGGTGAACTATTCCCTTAAGGCTCTCTCTGGGGTTTGATGCAACAGAAGGTGGCACCATTCAAGCTAGTTCACAGCCTTAAATCAGTTCCTCTGAGGTAGCAGATGAATGTGTGTGTATATGAAGCCCAGGCAGAGCATATGTGTGTGTGAAATACAGATCGTAAAGCTGTATGTTAGATTGGGTTCTCTGCTGATTACAGCGATGCCTGACTTTGCTCCATCTGCTAAACTCCTCCACACCACCATCTACCCCATCCCACCCAGCCCTCCTTTCTTCTTTGTGAACTCCTCTACCACCAGCTCCATTCCTCAGTTGTCCTCAGTTGATTTGATTTCCTTTGGGCCTAAATTATGGCATAATCAGTTACTTTCCATGTAGTCTTATTGTCCTTTCTTAGCTCTTTATTCTTGTGAATATGCTTCTGATCTGTCTGCCTTTCTGTGCTTTCTTTTACTATTCCCTTAATGTCCTTCTTTCCTTGTCTTTTACTACTTTCAAATTTTGCTCATTCCTTTCTTTCTCTTTTCTTTCTTTCTCTTTCCTGATGGGGCCCTTCTCTGCCTCTGCAGGCCGTTTCTTTGATGAAAATGAGTCCCCTGTAGAACCGCAACACGGCAATAAGCTGGCGGACTATAACGGGGATGATGGCAACGTGGGTGAGTATGAGGCGGACAAACAGGCTGAGCTGGCCTACAATGAGGAAGAGGATGGTGATGGTGGGGAGGAAGACGTCCAAGGTGAGCCAGGGGGAATGCAACTGCTTTGCTATTCCGTCTCCTCTCCCCCTCCCTTGTGCTGTTGCCGTGCTGCTAAATTAAGCTGCTGGTTCAGTCATCATGAGCTCACAGCATACTGAAGTACCGTCAGCTCGTTTGGCCTAATGCTCGAAAGGCTTGTGGAAAGGGTCAATAGAGGCGGAAGCCTCACCTCAGTGTGCTGAGAGCATGTTAATGAGATAGTTGTGAATGTGAGCTACTTAACCTTAAAGGGGTCATATGACGTTGCTAAAAAGAACATTATGTTGTGTATTTGGTGTAATGCAATGTGTTTGTGGTTTAAAAAAACACATTATTTTCCATATAATGTACATTATTGTTTCTCCTCTATGCCCCGCCTTTCTGAAACGCGTCGATTTTTACAAAGCTCATTGTTCTAAAAAAGCGAGGTGTGCTCTGATTGGCCAGCTATCCAGTGCTTTGTGATTGGCCGAATGCCTCAAGCGTGTGAAGGAAATGTTACGCCCCTTAACATACTGTAATGCAGTCTCCCAGCAGGACGAGACTCAGTCCAGCTGCTCTGCTCGTGCACAACAGTAACTGAACAACTCGGGATATTGGTTTATTTCGCGTCAGAGGGAGTGTCAGGCACGTTTATAAACCGAATAACTTAAGTAATTTGTGGATTAGTGCATACTGGAGACGCGAACTGTTTCAAACGATTCAGTTCGTTTTGGTGAACTGATTCGACCGGTTCACTAAGAAGATCCGGTTAAATAGAACGATTCGTACGCGATCCGGACATCACTAGACAAGACAAATCCAATAAAACCCATTACAAACAAGGCATTTGTTGCATCCAGTGGGGACATAATTACTGATTATAACGACTTATATTGTCTTTTAATGCATTGCGTGTATCGCGCCGCGTAAACATAAAACCATGTCTGCATTTGTGATCGGAGAAACAACAAGCGCTACTCTACACTGCTCAGAACTCACGTTTGAATCATCATTGGCAAATATAAAAAAACTTGCTTACAGGCTGTGAGTCGGAAGCGCCAGACTGTCCTTGCAAAGTTGGAACTGCCCAACTTTATAGAAACAGCCTTTGTGCCATTAGGCTACTGGTTCAGGAAACAGTCCTCATCCATGCTCCATAAAATGCATTGCACACATCTGAATATTTGGGTTGAACTGTTCTGGAACAGTGTTGTTAATACAACTTAACCACTGATTTGTAGTTGTGTCCTCTTTTGGAAGGCTAAACAAAGTAGTTTCGCTTTCACAATGAAACACACAGTGACTCCACAAAATGGCAGCGGCGGCAACAGCGAGAATAAAAGTTATGCCGCCTTTCTTTGCGTGAACATTTGGGTGGTGTTGTGCAAATCTTCCCACATCGTGACGTAGACATGTGGGGGCGTGTTAGAACGAGCCGTTTTAGGAGGGTGTGGTTGACTCTTAACTTTTATAAAGAATATCTCTTTGGATTTGAGACTTTAGTCTTTGCAACTTTACAGATCTTCTTTATGCACCAAGAGCTTGTAACACTCCAAAGAGAAAGGAAAAATTGAAATCGCATCATATGACCCCTTTAATGGACCATGTGATTATGAGACTGAACCTTCTCTCCCAGCATGCCTCATTCCAGTCATTGTCTTTACTAATCAGCGTGTTAGTGTGTAGAGTTATTGTGTTTTCAGTGCATGTGAAAGCCATAACACCAGTGTTAAATCCATTTCACTAGGGTTTTGATATTGTAAATGAGTTTTGTTTTTTTAAACTCGTGTTGTTTAGCTGTGTACACTGGGCCATCTTTTTGCATCTTGCCAATTTTTGCATTGGTATCACTTAACACTTGTGACAGTTGTAAACCCTATGTCTCTTAGGCCATGTTCACAATGCAAAGTCTAGGGACTGACAACCTCATGTAAGTGCAAGAATTAATCCTGTAAATTTTGTTCTGTGTGTGTGTATACCATGGTTGATATTAGAGCTGCACGATATTTCCTCATAACCAGTACATTTGCGATAACTCGGAACAGTTTAGTAATGTTACGTTTTCTGGTTGATTAACTATATATCACCAAGTTGAGAGTTGGTAGTATTTACATATGGTTTATTTGTTTAATTGATTTTAAATGACATTCTCAGATTTGACATTTTTTATGTACTGCTACAGTAAAAGTTCTGTTGTGCACTTTCAGAAGTTATATATATATATATATATATATATGTGTGTATATATATCCGTGTATATAATGTCATTTATATTAATATTTATATATAAATATGAATATGTATTACATATATTTCTTAAATATATGCATGTGTGTGTGTATTTATATACAGTATATTCATATAAATATACACAGTGCACACATATATTATGTAAACACATACTTTTATTTTGGAAGTGATTAACCCTAATTTACAGGATTCACACATTTAAATGTGGTTGTCACTCCCCAAAATTGTGCAATGTGTATGTGGCCTTAGTAGCTTTCACTGTTTCTAGGCATATTTTTCTTTACCCATGAAAGTTACGCTAGTTAGTTAGTCAGCCATTGTTGTGATTGATCACTGAATTGTAATTATCTCTGTTGTTGTATCTTTCAGACGATGAAGATCGGGAGGCTCCAGGTGAAAGGGCTGTGGATTATGGAAAGCGACATCAAGCCATTGATGTCCTGTAGTTCAATCCCTCACAAATCCTTTGTTGAGCTTTGGATCTTTCTGACAATGAAGTAGCCAAGCCAGGAAAAGGAACTTTGGATTTCACCTGCGATTTTGGTATAATGATTGGAGACATTCAGACTATTCAAACTATTTCAGTGTCTTCAGAGAGGAACGATTTTCAGCGGTTACAGTTGTGTAATCGGTGACTGCAGATGAGTGTTTTATTCAACTTAAATATGACAGTGATTTCATAATCTGCTGCAAATGTTTGCTTGCACATGACCTGATTTGAGTGTATTGTTTTCATGGTGTTTTTTTTTTTGCCCTCATCTGTAGCACAGGTGTATCAGAATTGGGATTTGGAACTATTATTTTGTACAAATGTCTTGTTTTTTCTTTCTTTCTTTTTTTTCTTTTGGATAATAAAATAACTTCTCCAGGGATTGGAGGACACAACTGTGAATAGATAATAAGGAAGTAATATTTCTCTGTTAGATTCACAAAGTGGAACATATTGATACTACTGGTGAAAAGGACCTCTACAACACCAACACCAGTTTTCCTTCATTTTTTTGAGAACTGCTGAAAAGTATAATCTCCCTTTTAGCTTTTTGGACAACTGTTGCCTAAGTGTAAACTATGGGAAGATGCAATTAAGTTGCTGTTCAACTTTTTAATCTCTCTGGTACATAATGACACTGATTGGCCAGATGGGGGTCTTTTTTTGGTTTTTGTTTTTGGAACTACTCCGATTCTAATTCTGAAGGAGCACTTAGAAGTGCACATGGAGTCTTGTAAGGACATTGTTGCATGCAAAAGGCAGCCTTTGTAAATCAGCCTGTAGATCATCAAGAAAATGGAAAAAAAGCAATACTTGGTGCCACAGACTAAACTCATCACAGCTATTGGCCTGCTTCCTTTCTTACTGGTAGCTGTAGATGTACAGTACATATAAGGAGGAATCTGTGTGGCAAGGAATGCTGTAAAATTGCTAAACTCTCAAATGAAAATAATGATTATAGACCTAACTGTTTGTGTTTGTTTCATACTCAAGCAAAATTTGGTAGGGTTGGCATACTGAATGTACTCTTATAGCTTGTGATTGTTTTTGAGATCTGTCACATGGGTGTTTGGGCTCTCTTACACAGCTGTGCAGTGCAATCCAAGGATAATGATTAACAAATTGCTCCATATTTCAAATAAACTGGTGCTGTTTTGGGAAAAAGTGCAAATCCTATCACTGTGAGTCGACTGAAGTACGGAAAGTAGTAGCATCAAGAAGGGCACTCAGAAATCTTCATTAAATTGTCCCAGGCTGCTTTACAAACAAAAATGATTACATTACGGTAACAATAAAATATTTTTTTCTGTATAACGTTTTACTGTCTGTTTGCATTAAGAACGTTTATGTAAATTTGTACCTATTCGCCTTCATATTTCAAAATATTTTGTTCTAAGACAGGGGTGTCAAACTCAATTCCTGGAGGGGCAGAGCCCTGCAGAGTTTAGATTCAACCCTAATTAAACACACCTGATCCAACTAATCAAGTCCTTCAGGCTTATTTGAAAACTACATGGCATGTGTGTTGCAGCAGGGCTGGGACAAAACTGCAGGGCTCTTACCCTCCAGGAAATTAGTTTAACTCCCCTGTTCTAAGACATATAGCTATAGGCCAGTGGTTCTCAAACCTGTCCTGGAGTACCCCCCCGGGCCTGCACATTTTGTATGTCTCCCTCATCTAGCACACCTGATTCAACTCATCAGCTCATTAGTGGAGACTGCAAGACCTGAAGTGGGTGTATCAGAGGACATACAAAATGTGCAGTGCTGAGGGTACTTCATGGAAAGGTTTGAGAACCAGTGCTATAGGGAATGCCTTCGTATCATGATGGCATCTGAAGTAGAATGGGATTAAAATTCACTTCATTCAGGAATATACAGGCATTCCGCCTAAGTGCTTCATAACGGTATTGCCATGACAACAGAACGTGCCTTTCCTTCTCATCTTATACCCCGTGTACTCGTTCTATTTTTACTGGCTGCTTGTCGATGTGCTATGCATAAATAAATGCTAGTACACAGTTAAACTGGATTGAGAAAGCCAACCTGCTGATATTCTATTTAAGATTACTATTGTTGTTGTTGTTATTCTGAGACTACATTTCTAAATGCATCTCCTAGAGCAGGGGTCTCCAAACTTGGTCCTGGAGGGCCGGTTTCCTGTAGAGTTTTGCTCCATCCCTAATTAAAGGGGTCATATGACGTTGCTAAAAAAATAACATTATTTGGTGTAATGAAATGTGTTTATGCGGTTTAAGGTAAAAAAAAACATTATTTTCCACATACTGTACATTATTGTTTCTCCTCTATGCCCCGCCTTTCTGAAACGCGTCGATTTTTACAAAGTTCATCGGTCTGAAAAGCTAGGTGTGCTCTGATTGGCCAGCTATCCAGTGCATTGTGATTGGCCGAATACCTTACGCGTGACTGAAATGGTACACCCCTTACCATACTGTAGGTACCATTACCCTTCAAATTGCGCAAATTGAAATTGCGAACTGAAAATACGCTTAATGGAAACGCGTAAATTTCGCAAAAACTCCCATATATCGCAAAAAAGTTTTTACGCTAGCATGAGGTGGTTTTTCAGGCAATGCGAAAAAGAAATAATTCACAAAACTGCAATGGAAATGGCTTTTTCGCATTTACAGGTCACATGACGTATGTAAAAAGTCATATGATCATTCTTCACTGTACTATAACCTCCAAGAAACACATAATATGTAGCCACTCTCCAGTATAAGGGGCTTTCCCTACCATTAATGCTTAGACAATTTACACTGCACACGTCTGCGGTGCAGTGAGGCTCTGATACGGTCACTGAAGCTGATTGCGGCCACTCAATGCTTGTGTTTATGTTTTTATACAGTCTATGGTTTATTCCAGCTGCGCCACACGTTTCTGAAGCAGCTCTCTTTGCTGCTTCTGTAAAGATACAGCATAAGCCTCCTTTGAATAAATATAGCCAAAATCCCACTAAAATCCGTTGCCATGACTTATCGCGAGAGGCAAAAGGTTACGTTTTAGTCGCATAACATTGGTTAATGGAAACGCCGTCATTTTGCAATACTTTTTTATCGACATTTATAAAATATCGCCAAAGTTTAGCGCAAATCTGTAATGGAAACGCTTCTTGTGATGCCATGTCAGTGTGACGAGACAAAACCAATAAAATCCATTATAAACGAGGCATTTGTTGCATCCAGTGGGGACAAAATTACTGATTATAATGACTTATACTGTCTTTTTATGCGTTGCATCACGCCGCGTAAACATAAACCCAAATGACAAACAACTAGCACTGCTCTACACTGCTCAAAACTCACGTTTGAATCGTCAGTGGCAAATTCTTTAAATATGAAAACTACTTACAGGCTGTGAGTCAGCATTATTTGTCAGAACACCGGCATTGCAGGCTACTCTCCCAGGAAACAGTCCTTGTCCTCCATAAACTGCGCTGCACACATCTGAATATTTGGTTGAACTGTTCTGGAACAGTGTTGGAAATACAACGTAACCACTGATTTCTAGTTGTGTCCTCTTTTGGAAGACCAAACAAAGTAGTTTCACTTTCACAATAAAACACACAGCGTATCCATGACACGGCGGCGGCGGCAACAACAATACTACAGCGAGAATCAAAGTTACGCTTCTTTCTTTGCCTGAACATTTGGGCGGTGTTATGCAAATCTTCCCACACAGTGATGTAGATATGTGGGGGCTTGATTAAACAAGGCATTTAAGGAGGGCATGGACGAGTCTTAACTTTTATAAAGAATATCTCTTTGGCTCTTTGGGTTTAGTCTTTGCAACTTTAGGGATCTTATCTATTCCCGAACAGCTTGTAACACTCCAAAGAGAAAGGAAAAAAGGAAAACGCATCATATGACCCCTTTAAACACTCCTGAACCAGCTAATTAAGGTCTTACTAGGCACACTAGAAACTTCCAGGCAGGTGTGTTGAGGCAGGTTGGAGCTAAACTCTGCAGGACACTGGCCCTCCAGGAACAAGTTTGGAGACATTGTCCTAGAGCTTTCAAGCTCCAGCCACCAAATTCGGCCCAGACCTTCAGCCTGTTCTGACTTAGCCTGCCCTGTCTTTTCTAACTGACCGGTCTTATGGTTTTCCTAAAATGACGATTAAAACGGGGAAAAATTCCATAGACTTATATTGTTCAAATGAGCCAAGACTATTCAAACTCCAACTGACAAAATTCAAATGAACACACTGAAGCCGGTTAGACTCAATTAAGCTGCCATTCTATGTTATATCTTAAACTCATATAGATTGCATTATACCCATTTCTTATCTATCTATCAGTCTATATAATCTGACATTTTCTATCTCAAACTTTATCAAACGTCAGGATTTTAAACCTGCTTCAAACTTGCGGACAAGGCTTTTTATCTAGTTAACTTGGTCTGCTACTTTTGTTCTATTATTATGCGCTAACTTATCGGAGCCACATTCCTGTCAGAAAAAAAAAATAGTAATCAAATACATATTTGCTAGTTTACCTGAAAGGCTACCTGGTAAATACCGACACGAACTCCGTTGTGAAAAGGAATTACTCCCCGCTCTGCGTTTTTGCTAAAGCACAGTTTATGTGTGATTCCCGCTACTGTTATGTGTATTTTAAATAGATACTGTACGCTAAACCTGTCGCACTGCGAAGCCTCAATATTGTTTTGATTCTCGGAACAACAGAAAGGGGGTGTGGGACGCGCGCCGCGCGCCGCAGGACGCATGCTCGCTCCTCTCTTCATCCGGGTACCTGCCGTTGACTGTGTGTGTACGGAGGCGGGAAATGGCGTCCAGAGGTGTGGGCGGTGTTATGCAAATCTTCCCACACAGTGATGTAGATATGTGGGGGCTTGATTAAACAAGGCATTTAAGGAGGGCATGGACGAGTCTTAACTTTTATAAAGAATATCTCTTTGGGTTTGAGACTTTAGTCTTTGCAACTTTAGGGATCTTATCTATTCCCGAACAGCTTGTAACACTCCAAAGAGAAAGGAAAACTTGAAATCGCATCATATGACCCCTTTAAACACTCCTGAACCAGCTAATTAAGGTCTTACTAGGCACACTAGAAACTTCCAGGCAGGTGTGTTGAGGCAGGTTGGAGCTAAACTCTGCAGGACACTGGCCCTCCAGGAACAAGTTTGGAGACATTGTCCTAGAGCTTTCAAGCTCCAGCCACCAAATTCGGCCCAGACCTTCAGCCTGTTCTGACTTAGCCTGCCCTGTCTTTTCTAACTGACCGGTCTTATGGTTTTCCTAAAATGACGATTAAAACGGGGAAAATTTCCATAGACTTATATTGTTCAAATGAGCCAAGACTATTCAAACTCCAACTGACAAAATTCAAATGAACACACTGAAGCCGGTTAGACTCAATTAAGCTGCCATTCTATGTTATATCTTAAACTCATATAGATTGCGTTATACCCATTTCTTATCTATCTATCAGTCTATATAATCTGACATTTTCTATCTCAAACTTTATCAAACGTCAGGATTTTAAACCTGCTTCAAACTTGCGGACAAGGCTTTTTATCTAGTTAACTTGGTCTGCTACTTTTGTTCTATTATTATGCGCTAACTTATCGGAGCCACATTCCTGTCAGAAAAAAAAAATAGTAATCAAATACATATTTGCTAGTTTACCTGAAAGGCTACCTGGTAAATACCGACACGAACTCCGTTGTGAAAAGGAATTACTCCCCGCTCTGCGTTTTTGCTAAAGCACAGTTTATGTGTGATTCCCGCTACTGTTATGTGTATTTTAAATAGATACTGTACGCTAAACCTGTCGCACTGCGAAGCCTCAATATTGTTTTGATTCTCGGAACAACAGAAAGGGGGTGTGGGACGCGCGCCGCGCGCCGCAGGACGCATGCTCGCTCCTCTCTTCATCCGGGTACCTGCCGTTGACTGTGTGTGTACGGAGGCGGGAAATGGCGTCCAGAGGTGCGGGGAGGACAGAGGTGAACCTCGTCTGAAGAGGCACGCGAAAAACAGCGAGTGTCAGCAACCCTGAAAACGACCGTTATCCTGTGACTCGATCCCCGGAGATTCGCCCAGTAAGTTATTATTACCCAGTCTGTATTGTTTGTGGTGATAGGGTTCCCCCAAAACACCCGTCCTTTCGCTCCGGTCGGAAATGTTTCGCTGTGATTCGGCTCGCTCCCGCAGCACCCATATGCGCGGACGGGCAGCTGCCGTCTTCGCGAGTCGTTCCCGCGCTTTCTCTCATTAGAATCTTGCCGGCTGTTTTGAGTGGCACATGAGGCTTCTTCTAGTAACA